GCTGCTTGATTGCCTACTGAATGGTAAGTTTTGAAGTTGCTGAATCCTGTGATCCTGTTGTTAATGGAATGAAACTCTTGTAGTGCGGCTAGATCTACATTGTTTTCTAGAATAACCTGGGCTGCATGGACAGTTGCGGCTTGGCTGCGTTGCAAGTTGCTTTGAAGAACTGCAAAACCATGTACTGTTCTTGGATATGCAATAGCCTGCTGTTCATCTACCACTGCGCCGTTGATTTCATTCTGAACAGTTCTGCCTTGTAGGCTTGACATTGTCTTGCACTAGACGGGTGTGTGGTGTCGAAGCTAGTGCCTTTGGATTTATTGTGAGTTGCGCAATTGACGCAGTGTGGAGTCTTTGCTTTGCAGTTATCCTGGCTATGAGCTTGTCCACAGTTTACACAGGCCAACGCTGCTTTACAAGAATGACTCAAGTGTCCCAGCCGCTGACAATTTTAAAACACCTTGCAACTTGAAAGTATTTTCTGAAAGCACAAGAGCTGAATCCTATAAGAATTCTTCTAAGGTCCTTAATATCCTCGTACAGATTCTGCTGTAGGTCGACGATCCAGGTGAGGCCGATAGTTGTGCGAATAGGATTTCTTGGATGTATTTGTTCTTCACTTGCTGAGGGCACCAGGCTCGCAAAAGCTTCACGTATGTCGTCTGCTGTTGCGGATGTGGGGGTACCAAAAGACGATTATTGTGGACTTTCTGAAAGAGGGCTCTCTGAGCGTGACTGCTGCTGAGAGTGAGGGCTTTTCCTCAATCGCTTTCCTGAGTGTTTCTATATTTTGTCTGTGGCTGCACCTAATTAAAAGTTCGTTAGAGCGTGTGGGCCGCACTTCTTCAACAGTAACGCCCAGTTCCCTGGCGCTAAGTTCAGTAGTCAGTTGTGTTCTGACTTGTTCTGGAGTTCTATCTGTTTCTTTTGCTTTTAATAGGAGGGCGTGGTCTGATAACTGTTTGTTAAGTTGCGCAGTTCGTGCTTTTCGTTTTCTCTTTTTGACTTCGGTAAATGGGGTTTCTTCTGTTTCCGTCTGTTCTGGAAGGTCTTCTGGTGTGGCCGGAACTGTTAAAGAACGATTATCATTCGCGCTGAGTAAACGGACTGCCTACATATAAATAAACGGATTGCCTATATAATATTATAATACACATAAACTATACACACTACATATAAATAAACGGACTGCCTAAATAAACGGACTGCCTACATATGTGTTTTCGTCTTTTGGTTTTTTTCATATTTAAAGTTCTCTTTTAAGGCAGATTCAAGACAGTTTCTCTTAGAAAGCCGTCCAAAAATGTATTCCTTAACTTATTCGAATAATCCTACCGTGCTTTGCAATAATGAAATAAACTAAACCAAGCCATAGAATAGCAACTTGTTTGTGCTAATCTGAGGATTTTATTCTTATCAATATCAATGATATCTTGAACCTTTTGCTAAGAGAATAAGGTTTACTACTACCAGGAATAATTAGAGATATCCTTCATAAATATCTCTAGGTATGACAGTATAATACCTTAACGGAATGACTAGCACATAATGCAAAATAACTGCAAAACACATCCCATATTAAATACTGATGGTGCATTCGTTTATAATGTTATAAAATTCGTTATAAAATAACTAGATCTAGTCTTAATACCCATCATAGTGGTACAGTTATCAATTCCAAAGCTAACAGAATTACTTATTGGGATGTTTTTTCCTGTGAAAAGGTTATTTATAGCTTAATAAAGCGCTTTTGAAGTATTATTTTTTATACAAACAGCGTCAAGCAACACATCTACAACAAGGTTTATATACCAAAATATCTAATACGGACATTATACAATAACTCATGATATAGATATATGTGTACTTTGATATATTAGCATTGGAAACTTTCTGCTTCTACTTACGTTTGAAATGCACATTTTATCAAGACAACTGCGTTGTAAAAGAGGATGCGTTGTTGTAGTAAAAGATAAAATATTTTAGTCCCTGAACGTTATAGGTCATATTAACTAGTTTTGCAATATTGCTATCATGATACACTTTTTTTACTTGTTTTTGTAAGACGATTTCATTGCGCATTTGAAGCATTATGCTCAAATTAGTGTAACAATTGTTGACTCTGCTTTTGCTATTGTTTGTTTCTCTATAAGTTCATTTTTGTGCAGAACGTGTTTAACATTGAACTTGTCTAGGCAACATCTTCACTATTTTTATGTTTAACTATATAACATTAATTTTTGGCATTATTTAATTTTATCTCAGTACAAATATAGAAAAATGCATCATTTTCATTATTATCTTCTCTAAACTAATCCTTTAATTTCGGATCTTCTAACCATTCATGTTTAAACGTTACAAGCAAAAACATCGAGGACGAAAACGTCGCGGAGAAAACAAAACAAGGCGAAAACGTTATCCCACAAAACATGGCGGGAGTACGAAGAAAATATAGCAGTTTCAAAAACATCGCGGTAAAACCTCGTCGCAAGAAATAAAGTGGTTTTAAACAATTGCAGTTTTAAAATATCGTCTTCGAATATATCATGGTAAGAAAAAGTACTTGCAAATCATCGCATGACGATAGGATCGCAAACATATGTTTACAGGTCTTAAAAGCTGTAATGTGTATTCGCATAGTGATTTATGAGCGCAAGAAGGAATGGGAAAGATTTTTACCTCTTTATTTCATATTTTGAATTAATTGATGTTTTTTTTTTTTTTTTTTTTCTAAAAAGGCAAGAAGGAAACTCTATTAAAAACTGAAAATTAGTGAGAAATAAATGGTACGTTTAGCAGCTAATAGAATATACGCTTTGAAGTGTACAAAAATTAAGCAAAGAAAATCACGTCTTAGTGAGACGTGCTTGCTTTTGCTGCATAGCAAATTAAATCGTGGTGTAATATTTGATGCTGCTAGACATAAAGCATCTTCAGCACTTTTCAGGGTTTAACGATATTTGTATTTAATACGCGTTAAAGTTGAATAAGTCTTTTCATATAGGTGTGTGGTATTGAATGGCACAAGGAAATTTCCTATAATTCCAGAAATTGTAAGAAATTCAGTTCAAGCTCCGATACAGAATTCAGTCAAGGATTTTGTAAAAACTCAAGTTTTAAGTCTGAGTCATTTAATACCTCAACAAACTCCTTTTGGGCTTAATATAGCAGATGATTAATTAGACATTAATGTCAATTATTGTATTTTCTTTAAAAGTCTCACAATAATGTAGTTTATTTAAATTCATGTATCTGAGTTAATTTTGCGCTGCTACATTTGATATCGTGACTCATAGTGGAAGAAACGCTGCGCTAATATATATAACGTGCATTAAAATAAGTGAGTCACCGATCACTACGATTTATGAATGTTATTAAAATTAATAAATACCTACATAAAACTTCTCACATACACGCGTAATAGTCATAACAATTTATTTAAACATTGTGCTTATTGCAGGAATAAAGTGGAGTAAAAGAAGAACTCTGAGAATTTCAGTATTCCAAAAAGGCATGTGGTCCGAGTATATAGTACTACCGTAAATGTACGTATATTATATAAATTACAACCAACAATTAATTAACTTTTAAGAAATTATATATATATATATATACGAGTATATATATATATATATAGGTGGGTTTTTATCTTGGGCAAACACAATTCATAAATAAAACAAAACACGTTTAATGAAACATTATTACATAAAGTTCGTCTGTTAATACATATACGAGTAAAACTTCTTAATATGACATCTTTCATATATTAATACACATAAAACTTCTTTATATGACATCATTCATCTATTAACACATCGTTCATCTCTATCTCATAAAACAAAGAACGAACTAACTTATTAGAGAACTCAATAGAATTAACTTATTAGAGAGTTGACTAGATAAGGTAAAACTAATCACCCACTTTAGTTACGGCCGAGGGGAAAATCAAACATTTCTCTACTGTTAAAACGTCATTTTTATTTTGAGCAGAAAGAATTCTTCAGAAATATACTTTTGCTTAATTGGTACAACACTAGGGGTGCTAAACATGCCCCACAACTTTTGAATAGGCAGCTTACATTTTGGAGAATAGAAAAAGAAGCTTAACAAAGAGACTTGACTTTCCTACGCAGCGTATACTTTAGAGAATAGGAAAATCAGTTTAACGAAGAGGAGGGACTTCCCTATACAACAATAGGCAAAAAGAGTGCTTAATAATGGCAATAGTATTTATAACCTCGAAATGTCTTCGTTTTAATCCTGAGCAGCAACTGGGTAAAATTCTACAGCAATGCGCAGACACTGCAGGGAAAATACAGATGCCTTGAAGAGGGTTCTGCTTGTTAATAAATTCCTATTATATTCTTATATCTTGTATATTTATATACTTGTACTGATACTGTATAAAAGTAAAATTTCTATGAAATTTATTTAATGTATTATATTACGCCAGTGTACACTGTATCCACCAAAGTCTTTGTCCAGCCTTCATTTTCGCAACCGTTGATTGTTAGTCGAATACTTTCAATCACAAAAACCTTTGAAATGGCGCTAAAGTTCATGTTTTTGTATTTTTAAACTTAAAAAAAATATTATATAAATGCGAAATCTAACTTTTCCCACTCTCGTCTGGGTCTTATATGTTAGAAAAATTTGCACTCATTATAAAAAAAAATAAGAAAACACAGGTTTATACTATCGTATGACAAAACTCACGAAGACATTTGATGTTAAACTTGGAAATCATAGTCAGAGATCGTATATAAATTGGTGAGCTAACATTTTCTTGTAGACCATCATGATAAAAATGCTTTTAATATTGAGATATTAGTACTATAATAAAAATACTATAGTACTAGCACTTCAACAGCAGCTGAATTCTGTAATAGAAAGACTAGTTAATATATTTTCACCATCAATTTTATCTCTCAGTAAGATTCGTAGAATAATAAGTTATCAGCTTTAGAAATAAAATGAATAGAAACAGAGTACGGAAATAAAAAAATATTTTTTATTGTAACATATATATTGTAACATATTTCATTCAAAAACATTCATTGGAAGCATGCAATACATAACGCTTATTATTTTTTCTTCAGCTGATTTTGTGAAGCTTCTGAGCATTATAGGAGTGACTCACCTTTGATTAGCTAAGAAAACTTGCACACGTATATAAAGCGGCAATAGCACACAAAGAAACAATAAAGTTAAACAAATTTTTTAAATTGTTGAGCATGCCTTTCAGAGAAACGTTATCTTTATATCTGATATTTACGTTTTCAAATCACAGTGCAAATTACAATTCTTAACGCCTTGAAGGTACAGGAGGTGGTTCAAGACTTGATACTTTCTCATTAGAAGCTTCAATTTCTTCCTTATTACTGAAAAAGAAAGACGTGTAATAATTAACATACATATTTATCTGTTTAACATATTACATATGCATTGATACTAGAGTTTCGAATGCAAAAGTAAGTTGAGTGACATCTCTAGTTCAAAAGCAGAAACCCTATCATATATAAAAGAAATTAAATGCGAGGTTTTTCAAAGATGTGAGTTACATTCATAAGACTAACACTGCAGGAGATGAATTGTGTGTATGAAGGAGACGATAAAATAAAAATTTTGATAATTAATTGATAAAGAAATTTATAATTAATTAATAAAGAAATTGTGCATTTGTGAGGTAGAGCAACCGCAAAGGGCGCCTAATAGCTGAAATTTAATGAAGATAGAAAAAAGAAACACCTCTATTTTTCCCCCTTCGTTTATTTATTTTTAATTAACTGTTTTTACTCATTTTGTTTTATTCTTACACAGAGAAACCTTGTTTCACAACTAAATTCGTCTAAGAAGTAGTTCATTATCCGAAATATCCGTAAAAGAAACAGTTTCTTCCGTATGAATTAATGCAAAATGAATTAATACGTTCTCGGATACCAAATTATTTTAAGAGTGCTTTGTATGCAACTTAAATTAAACAGCGCTTTATATGCAAGATCAAAATACAAAACCAACGGAATTCGTTAAATCTAACACACTCACAATATTTAATGCAATGTTAAACTTATAATAAACAGAAAAACTTAAATTAAATATTACCGTTTCTATATTTAATTACATTTTTACTTAAGAGCAGAAATGAGAAAAAGTGAAGAAAACAAAGGTGCAAAATATTATTGTTTGAAAGGGAAATCCTATTTTTCCGTAAAAATATTAGTTAGCTGCTGTCTTTTCTGGGTTCTTTCTTTATTTTAAGTTCTTTCTTTATTTAAAACATTTAAGGAGCGCTAACCCTCACTATCGGATCGATCCTTTTTTTTTTTTTTCTAGAGCGGACGAGGGTAAAATTTGCTATCGCGTATAGTTATAATGAGAGCGAGCAGAAACGGGCTACCAGGTCTTCAATGCAAGCTGGTGCCTTATAGTAAGTGACGCAGGCACACGATTGACAAGCACTAATCAATCACATATATTCTTTTTAATAATGTCATGTTCGCAAGCAAATAATTCAGAGTAAAATAAGAAAGAAAACTGCATGATGACATAAATTGTATCGAATACAAGTATCAGATGTCAAATGACATCATTATGAAGTTTAAACTTCTTGCGCACGTTCTGAAATATAGGCAGAAGTCGATTACAAATTTTCTTCTTTAAGTATCCCGCTATGTCGCAATGAATTGCCGAATTTTTGTTTCATCATCTCAAAAAATAATCGCATACCGCACCTCCCTGTCATATCATCGAAACTTAACAGAGTAGATGAAGAATGGACAGCTCATAAAATTTTAACATCAAAGGAAGCGCTCACCAACGGCCGAGCGTAAAGTCGCTGAAAAGTAACAGTTCGAGCCAGGTTCAAGTTCTGGCGAACGGACTTCCTGCATGGAAGTTTTCTCAACTTCTCTTAAGAAACCATCCATGCAGGTTACCGTCTCCATAATCAGTGTCCCTCGAATTTCCATCCTTAATCAATTAACCTTATTAACCGACGGAAGCTTACTCATGATCACATTTTGTGATACAAAGATATAATTCATACTAGAAGAAAAGCATGCCAAGATAATATTTAAATTTAGGGAAAAGACAACCTTAGTTTAACGTGGATTTTGAATAAAACTCTATATTCGAACACATCAAGCTTCAATACTGTAACGAAGAATTTTCAGTTTAAAATGAAATGGACAAAGAAAAGCAGTGTAAATCAGTAAATTCATTTTATCTTCATAAAATTTACATGTATTCGAATAGGAACTTTTCTATTCTATTACATATGTATCTAACTTATTATTTAACTTATTAAAGCATGTTTATTTATGCGCAACCAGCAAGTGTATTTATATTTCTTATTCCGTGGCTAATCAATACATAAAAACATTACGTAAATTTTTTAGCATATTTCCATTTGGAGGCATCTGTATTTATCGATATTCTTTTACATTCGTTAACAATTTTATTTATCCTACCACTACTTATAAATCCAATCCATTGAATGCATTTTAATAATATCACTAAACTGTTTTGAATTTTTAATTTAATTATTTTCAAATTTTGTAATTCCTAGATCAAGAAATTTAAAAGAAATAAAAAAAATCCTTTCAAACGATTGTACGAGTATTTATAATAAATAATAAATAATGACAAATTATTATTTTACTGAAACAAATGCTTTTAAAAATCAGTTCTCTAAAGTAATCGTTGAAGTAAATAAATTACTGCACTAAACCTGAAAAGTAATGAATTTAAATAATTTCCTCCAAACTGTTCCCGGTTACGAATATTAGAATTTAAATTTCTATTCGTCGTGCGTACCTGGCTACATCAGTGGATCAGCGGTAAGCCACTTAACTCAGATAATTTGAGCCGTATTGAGGGTCCTGGCTAGTGAGCTGACGGCACTGGAAGCTTTCATGGTTTTATTTCATGTGAACGTAAATCTACCTCACACTGACTATTGTTTCATCCCGTTTTCCTTCCCTTCTTTAGTGGCCAATAACCGCCGTGTGATTTGCTGCGACTCATTATTCGATTCCATTCGTATCGAAAGTGTATTGTCTATTAATATCACATAGGAAAAAATAAGGCTATTTTTCTAAAATTTCATAAATGAAAAACAATAGTAATAAAAGAATAGACAAAGCAGCCAGAGTTTTAAAAAAATGAGAAACGTGATAATATTTTAAGTTATTATGTTTGAAATAAGGAAACAGCGAATAAAATTAGTTTTGAGAAATTTTAATTTCAAGTTATTATATTTATACTAAAATAATTGCAGTATTGCACTAATAGTAGAGTGAAACGGACAGTTCACATCCAGGATCTCAAACTCGCAGGCGGATTGCGGATGAGGCAGCACGAGGAGGAGCAGCAGATAAGAAGGAGTGTTTCAGGATTCTTCATTTAACTGATAAGATGACGTCACACTTTCATAAGAGGTTAGCTTTTATTGATTTTCCGGAGGTTCTCCGCTAAGGAATTTTTAGCTTTTGCATTTTTTCTTCGTGTTCCAGCTATTTTAAGACGTATGCAATGTTTATTTCCTTAACAGCGCTTATTTTCGAATTCAATGATTGATTCAGAAGGCATTAATTTTAGATGTAATTTTTTTTTTTTTTATTTTATTTTTTATGTTTCCGTATATTTTTAGCCTTAACCCTCAGAATTTTTCCTTATTTCTTAAATCTTCTGTTCATAATAACACATTTATTTTACATAATCTTAATTACATTACACATTCTTAGTGCTAAATTCATTTTTTACCCAGGGCCCACCAGCGGCCGAGCGGTGAAATCGCTGAACACTGGAAGTTCGGTCCGAGGTTGGAATCCCGCGAGCGGACTGGCGGCATGCATGGGCGTTTTCGTGGTTTTCCCCATGTGTAACGTGTATACGAGCCAGTTTCCCTTAGAAAGTCCTCCACGAAGGCATCCATTCCTTAGGCAGATAGCCCTAGTGTGCTTTGCCATAATTAAATAAACCAAACCAAACCACACTGTAAAAAAAATCTGTAAGGTTACAAAGAAAACTCATGGAAACTGGGATGCCATGGGTTATTTGAGTAACAGAAACAGTGTTTTCTTTGTAACATTACAAGATTTTGCCTGTATGATTACAGATCTTTTCTTGTAAATATCACAGCATATAGTTATGTAAGTAGAACATATTTTCTCATGTAAATTCCCAAACGATATATCTGTAATGGTTACAGATTATTTGCGTGTAATATTACAGCAAATAATTATGTAAAAAGACATGTTTTTCTCATTAAATCTCAACAGATATATCTGTAACCGTTACAGGTTATTTGTTGTATTATTATAGCAAGTTATTATGTGAGTAGAAGATACTTTTCTTACGTAAAATTCCAATGGTTGTATCCGTATATTTTTAGCCTTAACCCTCAGAATTTTTCCTTATTCTTAAATCTTCTAATCATAATAACACATTTATTTTACATAATCTTAATTACATTACACATTCTTAGTGCTAAATTCATTTTACCCAGGGCCCACCAGCGGGCCGAGCGGTGAAATCGCTGAACACTGGAAGTTCGGTCCGAGGTTGGAATCCCGCGAGCGGACTGGCTGCATGGGCGTTTTCGTGGTTTTCCCCATGTGTAACGTGTATACGAGCCAGTTTCCCTTAGAAAGTCCTCCACGAAGGCATCCATTCCCTTAGGCAGATAGCCCTAGTGTGCTTTGCCATAATTAAATAAACCAAAACCAAACCACACTGTAAAAAAAATCTGTAAGGTTACAAAGAAAACTCATGGAAACTGGGATGCCATGGGTTATTTGAGTAACAGAAACATGTGTTTTCTTTGTAACATTACAAGAGTTTTGCCTGTAATGATTACAGATCTTTTTCTTTTGTAATATCACAGCATATAGTTATGTAGTAGTAGAACATATTTTTCTCATGTAAATTCCCAAACGATATATCTGTAATGGTTACAGATTATTTGCGTGTAATATTACAGCAAATAATTATGTAAAAAGAACATGTTTTTCTCATGTAAAATCTCAACAGATATATCTGTAACCGTTACAGGTTATTTGTTTGTATTATTATAGCAAGTTATTATGTGAGTAGAAGATACTTTTCTTACGTAAAATTCCAATGGTTGTATCCGTATATTTTTAGCCTTAACCCTCAGAATTTTTCCTTATTTCTTAAATCTTCTGTTCATAATAACACATTTATTTTACATAATCTTAATTACATTACACATTCTTAGTGCTAAATTCATTTTACCCAGGGCCCACCAGCGGCCGAGCGGTGAAATCGCTGAACACTGGAAGTTCGGTCCGAGGTTGGAATCCCGCGAGCGGACTGGCTGCATGGGCGTTTTCGTGGTTTTCCCCATGTGTAACGTGTA